TGATAGATTGTATAGTTTGATAGATTGTATAGTTTGATAGATTCTGGGTTTAGTTTCATAATATAATATATATATATTGAGTATAATGTTGGAATTCATAGCTATTTTGTTTTGGTCTAGAATAAAAATTGAGCCCTAAAGTTATTGATAAAGTAGGACCCCCATCGGCTTTTAATCGAATTTTTTTAAATTGTTTATGCACCAAATAAATTATTTGTCGGTTCAAGACTTTGTTGTCTACAGGGTTCCTCATAACGTACAGACAGTGCCTACTTTCTGCCGGCTCTCGGATCCGGAATTTATTTTGGAATTTTCTTTTATTCTAAAGTCGGAAATACTATAATTAATTTGTGTTTGTTGTTAAGCGCGTACATGTGCAATAGGCTATCTACACCGTGGGCATCGATCCCAGAATTTTAGCTTTATAAGCCCTCAATCTTTCCGCTTTAACTTTATGACTGCCTCGGTTTCACTGTGAATTGGTATTTTACTGACATAGTGAACTACATCAATTTCCATCCTAAACAATAGCTTCAAGAACGTGTGCAATAATTATATTCCAAAATTCAAAATACGGCATTTTGGTTTTGTGTATAAATTAAGAAATCTTAAAGGACATAAAAAATGCCGTCAATATTATAATTAATCCATAATTACTGATACATTTTACAGGAAAAACAAATAATTTCTCCCAAATTGCTTGGTCAGTTCTTTACACTTAGTGTTGTAACGGACAAAAACATAATATTACTCGGTAGGTTTCGTAATGAGCGCCGGTTTCAAATGGTATAAGAACAAGTCTGTTGAAGCTTTGTTTCCAGATATCTCAAAAACGTGACATAATGTAAAAACAACGTTGAACGTGGATCAGCTTGTTGGAATGTGTATCTCCCCTTCATTCGTTTTTTATCCGTACATGTTTCTTGTGCATACTACAACCCATTAGCTCATATAAACACTTTACAATAAAGGTCCATCCTCCGGTTATTGTAAAGTGTGTATACGAGCTAATGGGTTTCAGTATACACTGTAAACTTACCACTGACCCGACGTCCATCCCTCGGGGGTCAGTGGTAAGTTTACAGTAGATATCGCAACACATTAGCTCATACACACACTCTTACTTAACAATAAACGTCCATCCCCGGTAAGTTAGCGATAAGTTTACAGTACTTACTGCAACCCATTAACTCATCTGCACACTACAATAAACGTCCGTCCCCCAGTGAGTTAGCGGTAAGTTTAAGAATTTATAATGTTAAAATCTGGGATTCGAGTCCTGCGGAGAACAGAGTGCCAATTTGGTAGCTTTGCAATAAGAAAATTGCAATAAATTTTCATTTTCATATTTTCTTAACTTTTTTTTCACCATTTTCAAACCAAATCTCCAATCCAACACATTCAAACTGTGGACGTAGAAATGGTTCAATATTAGCCATTAGTCAATCCCTATTGCGTTCACTGCCAAAAGCGTGCTACAGTTTCTGTATGTTAATTGCTATTTTTTTGTTGAGCCACTAAAATTAAATATTATAATATTTATTAAAACATTTGTGATTTAAAGTATATTAAATACCTACTATATAAACTTGTGTCATTTACTTTATAATCAAATCGAAACCGAATCTATTGTCAACCTATTGTCTTACTTATGTCTGTGTCATTGTTTATTTACAATTATTTAAGTGGGTGATTCCACAAGCTTCCATAGGATGCTAGTCACTTTGGCCTGACGGTTTCTGAACATTAATAGATTGTTTAACTCCGTTTTATTTTCTTCTGGAGCCATTTTGTGTTGGGACTTCTAATCATTGTGAGTTTGTATACTAGCCTCTTTTATTTTCTTCTGGAGCCATTTTGTGTTGACGACTTCTAATCATTGTGAGTTTGTCTACTACCCACTTTTATTTTCTTCTGGAGCCATCTTGTGTTGACGACTTCTAATCATTGTAAGATTGTCAATTACCCACTTTTATTTTCTTCTGGAGCCATTTTGTGTTGAAGACTTCTAATCATTGTGAGTTTGTCCACTACCCTCTTTTATTTTCTTCTGGAGTCATTTTGTGTTGACGACTTCTAATCATTTTGAGTTTGTATACTAGCCTATTTTCTTTTCTTCTAGAGACATCTTGTGTTGACGACTTCTAATCATTGCGAGTTTGTATACTAGCCTATTTTCTTTTCTTCTAGAGACATCTTGTGTTGACGACTTCTAATCATTGCGAGTTTGTATACTAGCCTATTTTCTTTTCTTCTAGAGACATCTTGTGTTGAC